AAAAAGAGGAATTCTAAGACAGTATCACCTGATGACATTCGATGCAGAAATCCTCAATAAAATGCTGGCAAACAATCCAGGCAGGCACATCAAAAAGCTTATCCACCCATGATCAGTGGGCTTCATCCCCTGGGAGCAAAGCTTGGTTCAAACATATGCAAATCAGTAAAGACGTAATCCATCATATAAACAGAAGCCAAGACAAAAACCACGTAATTATCTCAATAGATGCCGAAAAGGCTTTGACAAAATTTAACAGCCCTTCATGCTAAAAACTGTCATAAATGTAGGTATTGATGGGACATTCTCAAATAGTAAAGAGTTATGACAGACCCAAGCACATTATCATAACTGGAATGGGGCAAAAACGTGAAGCATTCCTGTTGAAACACTGGCCAGCAGACAAGGATGCCCTATCTACCCACTTCCCCCTATTCATACATAGTGTTAGAAGTTCTGGCTAGCGGCAGTTCGGCAGGAGAAGAAATAAAGGGTACTGCAGTTATGGGAAAAGAGGAAGTCAAGATTGTCGCCTGTTTTGCAGATGGACGTGAGTATTTTATATTAGAAAACCCCTACGTCTCAGCCCGCAAATCTTTCTTTAAGCTGATAAGGGCCAACTTCAAGCCAAAGTCTCAGGTTAAAAATATAATGTGGCAAAATCAACCAGGCATTCACTTACACCATAAGAGAGCAAACAGAGGGCCAAACTCATGAGTGAAACTCCCCATTCACAGTTGCTTCACAGAGGACATATAACGAGTTTTTTTTGTTGTGTCTCTGCCAGGCTTTGGTATCAGGATGATGCTGGCCGCATAAAATGAGTTAGGGAGGATTCCCTCTTTTTCTATTATCGGAATAGTTTCAGAAGGAGTGGTACCAGCTCCTCTTTGTATCTCTGGTAGAATTTGGCTGTGAATCCGTCTGGTCCTAGACTTTCTTTGGTTGGCAGGCTCGTAATTATTGTCTCAATTTCAGAGCCTGTTACTGGTCTATTCAGGGATTCAACTTCTTCCTGGTTTAGTCTTGGGAGGGTGTATGTGTCTAGGAATTTATCCATTTCTTCTAGATTTTCTAGTTTATTTGCGTAGAGGTGTTTATAGTATTCTCTGATGGTAGTTTGTATCTCTGTGGGATTGGTGATGATATCCCCTTTATCATTTTTTATTGTGTCAATTTGATTCTTCTCTCTTTTCTTCTTTATTAGTCTTGCTAGCAGTCTATCAATTTTGTTGATCTTTTCAAAAAACCAGCTCCTGGATTAACTGATTTTTTTGAAGGGTTTTTTGTGTCTCTATCTCCTTCAGTTCTGCTCTGATCTTTCCATGTTTAGTGCTTCCTTCAGGAGCTCTTGTAAGCCAGTCCTGGTGGTGACAAAATCTCTCATTTGCTTGTCTGTAAAGGATTTTATTTCTCCTTCATTTATGAAGCTTAGTTTGGCTGGATATAAAATTCTGGGTTGAAGTCTTTCCTTTAAGGATGTTGAATATTGTCCCCCACTGTCTTTTGGCTTGTAGAGTTTCTGCCGAGAAATCCACTGTTAGTCTGATGGACTTCCCTTTGTGGGTAATCCGACCTTTCCCTCTGGCTGCCCTTAACATTTTTTCCTTCATTTCAACCTTGGTGAATCTGACAATTTTGTGTCTTGGGGTTGCTCTTCTCAAGGAGTATCTTTGTGGCATTCTCTGTATTTCCTGAATTTGAATGTTGGCCTGCCTTGCTAGGTTGGGGAACTTCTCCTGGATAATATCCTGCAGAGTGTTTTCCAACTTGGTTCCATTCTCCCCGTCACTTTCAGGTACACCAATCAGACGTAGATTTGGTCTTTTCACATAGTCCCATATTTCTTGGAGGCTTTGTTTCTTTTTACTCTTTTTTCCTCTAAACTTCTCTTCTCGTTTCATTTCATTCATTTGATCTTCAATCACTGATACCCTTTCTTCCAGTTGATCGAATCGGTTACCGAAGCTTGTACATGCATCACGTAGTTCTCGTGTCATGGTTTTCAGCTCCATCAGGTCATTTAAGGTCTTCTCTATGCTATTTATTCTAGTTAGCCATTCGTCTAATCATTTTTCAAGGTTTTTAGCTTCTTTGTAATGGGTTCGAACATCCTCCTTTAGCTTGGAGAAGTCTGTTATTACTGATCTTCTGAAGCCTTCTCTCAACTCATCAAAGTCATTCTCCTTCCAGCTTTGTTCCATTGCTAGCGAGGAGCTGCATTCCCTTGGAGAAGAAGAGGTGCTCGATGTTTAGAATTTTCAGCTTTTCTGCTCTGCTCTGGTTTCTCCCCATCTTTGTGGTTTTATCTACCTTTGGTCTTTGATGATGGTGACGTACAGATGGGGTTTTGGTGTGGATGTCCTTTCTGTTTGTTAGTTTTCCTTCTAACAGTCAGAACCCTCAGCTGCATGTCTGTTGGAGCTTGCTGGAGGTCCACTCCAGAGCCTGTTTTCCCAGGTATCACCAGTGGAGGCTGCAGAACCGCGAATATTGCAGAACGGCAAATGGTGCTGCCTGATCGTTCCTCTGGAAGCTTCGTCTCAGAGGGGCACCTGGCTGTATGAGGTGTCAGTCAGCCCCTACTGGGAGGTGCCTCCCAGTTGGGCTACTCAGGGGTCAGGGACCCACTTGAGGAGGCAGTCTGTCTGTTCTCCCATCTCAAACTCCATGCCAGGAGAACCACTACTCTTTTCAAAGCTCAGTTGGAAATGCAGAAATCACCTGTCTTCTGCCTCACTCATGCTGGGATCTGTAGACTGGAGCTATTCCTATTCGGCCATCTTGGAACAAAGACCATTCAGGTCTATTTTTTCTACAAGTAAGAGTTTTGCTGAATTACAAAACCCCATAATCACAAGTACTGAATTTTTAAAAAATTAAACACACCTAATCCTGTCAATGTTAATCAAAATAAAAACTTCAGAATGCAGTGGCATTTATGTGACCAATCTGAGTTTTAGAATACAAATACCAGCTGTTTATCCCATGAACCATTTTTGCTAGGCTGAGGCTGTGAAAAATAGCAAGTCAACGTACGATTCTTTATGTTTTATCACACAAGGGATATCTATGGAGGGTACAGAGTGACGCTGAACAGATCATAAAGCACAAGAGACATTAGTTATCTCCCTCCCTAGCATCTCCTTCATCTCCCTGGTTTTCTGATGTCTACAGAGTGAGACTGTCTCTAAGTAACTGCATGATCAGAGTGCTGTCTTTTTAAGACTCTTCATTCAGTGTATCCAATTCAGCAATTGCTTCATCAAATGCTGTTTTTGCCAGGCTGCAGGCCTTTTCAGTAGAGTTTAGAATCTCATAGTAAAAGACTGAGAAATTAAGTGCCAGACCAAGTCAAATTGGATATGTAGGCTGCATTTCTTCTTTCTTACTAATTTCAAATGGTTCCTGATAAGCCTGCTGGAAGTTCAACATAGTGGTTTGTTCGTTGTCTCCAGATGCCACTTCAGAAAGATACCTAAAATAATCTCCTTTCATTTTCAAGTAGAACACCTTTCTCTCTGGTTGTATAGAATTGGGAGTAAGATATTTGTCCAACAGCTCCAGAACGTCATTGCAGATGTCCTGCAGTTCTGCTTCCATCTTCTCATGGTACTCTCTGCCCACCTGCGGCTTCTTCTCTTTCCTCTGTTTTCTGCTCAATGCTGGAGTGACACGCCAGGAAGAGCAGCAGGCACCTACCACATTCTTGTAGGCAATTCTCTCTTCGTTGGAGAATTCATGCCTCTGTTCCCTGACTGCCTTCATGGCTACAGCCATATCATCACAGCACTCAGCCTGCTCAGTGAGTTGGCTTTCTGTACCAGCTCACTTTTGTCCACTGTCATTCCTGTGGGAGGGCTGCAGGCGACAAGGATGCTTCCGAAAAAGCACCGAGAGAGATGACCACTTCCTTCCCAAGCCCACTCCTCAGGCAGCGGTGGCAGTGCCTGCCATTGCTGCAGTGATGGTGGCAGCAGCTCCTGTATTCAGATATTTTTAAAGTTTAAGCAAAATAAGGCAAAATGCCTTATAACTTGGTTCTGTGTAGTCAAGAATTAACTTTACCCAAAGAGAGGCCATGCCTTTGCCCTTGGCTCCTGGAGGTGATTTCTAAGCCCTTGTAACTTCCTGACGAATTAGAGTGTCCTGTATTTACACCAGACAGTCTAACAATGTGATTTATGGGGGGCTCTTTGGGCCATGCAGTGATAGTTAATAGCTCAACCTCTGGAGGAGCTGGAGACTAAAGGGTAACCTCACAGGCAGTCAGTGGTGTCTATATGACCAAGACCCAATAAAAACTCTAGACCCAAGGCTCAGGTGAGCTACCTTGGTCGGTAATACTCCATGCATGATGATACATACTGTTACTGGGAAAAATCAGCACTGCCTATGACTCCACTGGGAGAAGACAACTAGAAGCGTTGCACTCGGAACTTTCTGGGTTGCACAAGTGTCTTTCCTTAGCCTACTTTAATCTGTATCTTTTGCCATAATAAGTCATAACTGTGAGTATAACAGTTTTCAGTGAGCTTTTAAAGTCCTTCTAGATAATTATAGAACCTTAGGATGGCCTTGGGAAACCCTGAACTTGCAATGAGTGTCAGAAGTGAAGGTGGTTTTGTGAACTTCCAAACTTTACAGGTACTTAACTAAAGGGTATTTTCTTACCTAATCAAGAACTTGCTCTTCATGGCAATTTGTAGAGTAAGTCGGTCTCCTTCAAATGAGGCTATGTAAAAAGGCAACACATTTTTCCACACTCACTGAATATACAGATTAAAATATGTCAGAGAGTGAGCTCCCTTTCACAGACTTAATATGAATTAAAGTCTTAGTTGTTCAGTCATCTGGACGGAATTTAGACCAAATAAAAATCTCTAATTTCTTTTACTGTACTTAAAAAGTCCTTTAAAGAAAGTGAAAAAGCCAATTTCTACAAGAGTTTGGTTTAGAATTTCATATCCAAAGGGTGATTCATGAAATGATGACTATTGAAGATTTCATTAAGTCCCCATTTTATAGTATAAGGATGCATTAGCAGAAGGAATTTTAAAAACCTTTCTAAAAGAACCTGTCTTATAATCTATATGATATTTTATGATGCTTCTTGTGAGATACGAGGGAAAATCCTTCTCCCAGAGATTAGGTACCTAAATGATATGACTATAATTAAGCATTCAATCATATGCAACAGTGGTGGTATTCCATTAATTGGCACAGAAGTTATTAGAACTAATGAAAACGTAAGGGTCTTTTTATAGTCAGTGAATTTTTCACACATAAACACATCAACATACTTTGTTAAAGCTATTATATCTGGTCTAATGGGTCAAATTATACTGATGCTAAACTTTTAAATCCCTATTTTTAAAAACACACATTTAAATCCTGGAATTTACATTGTATTTCTCTTTATAGAATATGTTCAGGCAAATGCTGCCGTAACATCACCAAATAAGTCCTTGCCAAGACTCTCCAGCCAAAGCCATTAACACTCAAAATAGGAACCAAGCTGAGGCAGCAGTCGCTCAGCCTATAAAGGTCATAGTTCACCTGAGGAAGCTACAAACACCAAGATTACACCTAGTCTTTTTTTTTTTCTTTTGAGACGGGGTTTCACTCTTGTCACCCAGGTTGGAGTGCATGGCGTGATCTCGGCTCACTGCAAGCTCCGCCTCCCGGGTTCACGCCATTCTCCCGCCTCAGCCTCCCAAGTAGCTGAGACTACAGGCGCCCGCCACCACGCCCTGCTAGTTTTTTGTATTTTTAGTAGAGACGGGGTTTCACCATGTTAGCCAGGATAGTCTCGATCTCCTGACCTCGTGATCCACCTGCCTCGGCCTCCCAAAGTGCTGGGATTACAGGCTTGAGCCACCGCGCCCGGCCTAGACCTAGTCTTATCTCCATCACACATAGACTTCACTGTGAAGTATATCTAAACTTTTAAAAATCGAACTACTTTGTAAAACAAAAAAAAGGAATTATAACTAAGATCCGAAATTAAAAAGTCGAAAAAGAAAAACCCAGTTTTTCCAAGAATTAAAAGAAAAACTCATCAAAGTTCAAAATTCGATGAACCACGCCACTTTAAGATACTGTTTATGCAAACAAATAAGAAAAAAGATTTGGTGGAAGATTCTCATCTACTTTGTGAACACTTACCAAACAAAACTTTTTTCTCAAACATCTTAGGAGAAATTTGAATATTCTCTATACCTGCTATAACAAGAAGAAGAGATTTCGGCCTCCTGGGTTCACACCATTCTCCTGCCTCAGCCTCCTGGGTAGCTGGGACTATAGGCGCCCACTACCACGACCGGCTAATTTTTTTGTATTTTTAGTAGAGACGGGGTTTCACCATGTTAGCTAGGATGGTCTCAATCTCCTGACCTCGTGATCCACCTGCCTCAGCCTCTCAAAGTGCTGGGATTACAGGCGTGAGCCACCGCGCCCGGCCAAAAGTATAGCCTCTGTAGGCCAAACACTTAATCTAAGATGGCCAGAGAGAAGAACAGCATTGGATAAGACAGTCAAGAAAAACTTGTCATGTTTACTAGCTTCTATCCTCAAAGAAATATTAACAAGTAAGCTCTCTTATTTTTCTTTACCTTTTCCTTTCTTTAACTAAATATACAGTATGGACTAAAGAGTGGAAACTACAGAAACAAATCATTCAGCTGCGGCATTTTCAGGGTTTTCCACTCCCACATTTTTAAACAACACTTTAACAAAGGTAAAACAAAGATCCCTGAATCTCTGTTAATAGCAGCCTTCCAAACTTACTGTTTCTGATCCTTGTTTATTTGATTTTTAGAAACAAAATCTTAAAATGACATTTTTAAAACTCAGAGGTTGAAATATACAGTATTTATGAAGTTTTACCAAGAAAAATTCTGTGGTAGGTATTGGCTTTAACTGGGAATAAACACCTATTCTTCAATTTTACTATTATTAAACTGCAACTAGTAAAAAGTCAAACTGTGTATATGTTAAGGGCCTAAAGCCTAGGATTCAGAGCTATAAATCAAGTACGATCATCTATATAGCTTTTTAAAATAAGTCAGCCTTCAAAAGAGAACTTTCACACTCTGCTGAGACTGGAGTAAAGAAGTGCCAAAGCCTTTTAAACTTCCTCTTTTTTTGCCGGGGCAGGGGTGGTGGTTGTGGTAGAGAAACTTTGTGGTGGCTCACCTGGTGCCCATCAATACCCACTATTTTTCAGGGATCTTGTATGTGAAACTGATTAAGATAGGTATAGTCAATTTATGTTTTGTGTCTATAGTAACAGGAAAAAGAATCTTTGTGTTAAGTTTCAATGCATACTACCAGTTATTTTTTTATTATTATTATTATTTTTGCTACATGAATTGGTTTGTTCCTTCATTATTCACCGACTACCACGTCCTCATTCCCCTAGAGTTTTCAAAACACTGTGTGAACTGAGGTTGAAGATATCTATAGCACTCTGGTAAAAGGACTCTACACAGATCAAACAAACCTGGAGATTCTGGCACAAGCAAAGTATAGTTGAGAGTACACCCTCCAAGGGACTTCATTCTGGGTACCGTACTATATACTGACATTCTTGAACATTGGTAAATTTTACATCTTTCTTAGTTCAGATTACACCATAAAATTAAAATCCAGGCCGGGTGAGGTGGCTCATGCTTGTAATCCCAGCACTTTGGGAGGCCGAGGCAGATGGATTACCTGAGGTTAGGAGTTTGACTAGCCTGGCTAACATGGTGAAACCCCGTCTCTACTAAAAATGCAAAAATTAGTGGGTGCGGTGGTACACGCCTGTAGTGTCAGCTACTCAGGAGGCTGAGGCAGGAGAATCGCTTGAACCCAAGAGGCAGAGATTGCAGTGAGCCAAGATCACGCCACTGCACTCCAGCCTGGGTGGCAGAGCGAAGCTCTGTCTCTAAAATAAAACAGAATAAAATCTACAGAGTGAAACTGCTAAGTTTCAAAAAGAATAAGGGAGCCTGGTGCAGTAGCTCACATCTGTAATCCGGGAGGCCAACGTGGGCGCATCACTTGAATCCAGGAGTTCAAGGCCAGCCCGGGCAATACAAAAATTAGTCAGGCATGGTGGTGTGTGTCTACAGTCGTAGCTACACAAGAGGCTGAGGTGGGGGGATCACTTGAGCCCAGGAGATGGAGGTTGCAGTGGGCAGACAGCACTACTGCACTCCAGCCTGAGCAACAGAGCAAGATCCTGTATCAAAAAACAAGGACAGGCCGGGTGTGGTGGCTCAGGCCTATAATACTAGCACTTTGGGGGCTGAGGCAGGCGGTGAGGTCAGGAGTTGGAGTTGGAGATCAGCCTAGCCAACATGGTAAAACCCTGTCTCTACTAAAAATATAAAAATTAGCCAGGTGTGGTGGTATGCTCCTGTAATCCCAGCTTCTCAGGAGGCTGAGGCAGGAGAACTGCTTGAACCTGAGTGGTGGAGGTTGCAGTGAGCCAAGATCGCGCCACCGCACTCCAGCCTTGGCAACAGAGCAAGATCCTGTCTCAAAAACAATAACAAAAAAACCAAAAACAAACAAACAAACAAAAAATAAGGATAAATAACCATATTCATTCTTTCTCATGGCCTCGGTAACAGAGTAACAGCCCAAATTCTGACCATTGATAAACAGAAAACGTGACTGCGGATTCTAATATCTAAATGATACTTTTATGTTTCTGCTTTCCTTTAATGTAAGTCTAAAGTTCAACAGACTACTAAAAGTCCAACAACTACTGAAACATGAAAAAAATCAAGTAGGCAAAGATCAAAGGGTAGAAAAATAATATATATTAAAGGATATCTTAGATTATCATAATTTGTCTCTAGCCTATATGCCTAAGACAGTACTCTTGAAAATGCACAGCAAAATATTAGTTGATTTGATTACCTGTTCAAAAATCATAAACATGAGATCTGATTCCACATATACCATTTTCCACACATTTCCTATTCTTTGGATATATGGAAATAATCTAAGCTATAAAAAATGCTTCATATCTAATGTACTGAAACAAGGTAACATAAAAAGATATTTATAAACTAAGGTTCTCTACAAATCAAAAGGATTATACTATTATCTCAACGAGAAACAGGGTGACAAATAGCACTATTCCTATTTTATTGATAATGCCCGAACCAAAACAGAGAGCTTCACCAGATTTAGTGTGCTTTGCTTATGGATTAAAGACCTTTTATCATTTAGGTTTCTAACGCCAAACATTTTATTATATTGCAGTTACATTAATGACAAATACATTTTAATAAATCAAAACCACACAACTGGAACCTGAATAGTGTGTATCAATGAGAAAAACAGTGGAAATAATGCTTTTTGGGGTAGGGGACAACATCTACATCAGACCTCAGGATGGTTACAAGTTATCAGAAAATATAACAGAAAAATAAACTTCACAAGATTCTGTATTCATTCAGGAACTCAGCAAATCTCTTTAATGGTGAACTTCTATATACCAAGCCCTCTTCTGGATGTTGAATGTGTGGGTAGGGGGTTGGAGGGGTGATTGGTGGTGGTGGCAGCAAATTGGTAAGGATAGGCCTGGCTGATCCATGCACAGGAAATAGGCCACGGGCAAATCCTAAGACAGGAGACCAGTAGGAGATGAGGTCAGAAAAGTAATGGGGAAGAAGGCAGGATCATGTACGGCCTTCTGGGCCCAAGAACTTTGGACTGAACTCTGAGTGAAACAGGAAGTCGCCTGAAGGTTTTGAGCAGAGGAGTAATACGATTTATTTATATTTTATTAGGATCACTCTAGCTGCTGTGCAAAAAAGAGAGATGTAGGGGGACAAGGAGAGAAGCAGAGAAATCTTGTGGAAGGCTTTTGAATTAAATTAGATGAGACATAAAGGTAACCTGGATCAGCACTGGATATGATCAGATTCTAGATATATTTTGAAGACAAGAGGATTTCCTGATGAGGAGTCAAGGATGACTCCGAAGAGTACAGAGTAGGTAACAATGGAGACGGAGATGGGGCAGGTGTTAGAAAGATTGAGAATTCGGTTTTGGTTGTGTTGAGTTTGAGATGACTATTAAGAATCCAAGGGGAGATACTGAAAAGGCAGTTGGATATAAGAATCTGGAGTTCAAGAGAGAGGTATAGGTTAGAGACATTAATTTGAGAACTGGGGGCACAGAGATGGTATTTAAAGCTATGAGACTGGTGGAAATTATCAGGAGAGTGAGACTACACAGTGCCAAGGACTAACCCGGGGTCACACCAATGTTAAGAAAAATGGAAGAACTTGCAGAGGAGACTAAGCATGAGTACCTATGAGAGAGGAAGAAAATCAAGTGAGCATGGTGTTTTGGAAAATGAGAGGAAAGTGTATCAAGGAGGAAATAACCAACTGTGTGAAATGCTGCTGATAGGACAAGATGAGGATAGTAACTATCCATTGGATGTAACCTCAAAAAGGTTATTGGTAATCATGACCAGTTTTAGCAAAATGGTATGAGAAAAAGTCCAAAAGGAGGAGGTTTAAAAGAGAAAGGGAGAAGAGGTATTGAAGATAACAAAGACAGTTGTTTCAAGGAGTTATTCAGAGAAGAATAAAGATACCCAATAGTGGTGGCAGGAAAAGTGGAATACAGAAGAGGATTCTTTTTTAAATTTTTTTTTCCCCCAGATGGAGTCCCGCTCCATTGCCCAGGCTGGAATGTAGATGCCTGATCTCAGCTCACTGCAACCTCTGCCTCCAGGGTTCAAGCAATTCTCCTGCCTCAGCTTCTTGAATAGCTAGGATTATAGGCATGCACCACCACGCCTGGCTAATTTTTTGTATTTTAAGTAGAGACGGGGTTTCACCATGTTGGCCAGGCTGGTCTCAACTCCTGACCTCATGATCTGCCTACCTCGGCCTCCCAAAGTGCTGGGATTACAGGCATGAGCCACTGTGCCTGGCCTAAAAAAATTGTTTAGATACATAATATTTGTACATATTTATGTGGGTAACATGATATTTTGTTGCCTGCACAGAATGTAATGATCAAGTGAGGGTATTTAGGGTATCCATCACCTTGAGTATTTATCATTTCCATGTGGTGGGAACATTTTAAGCCTTCTAGCTATTTTGAAATAGACAATACATTGTTAACTATAGTCACTCTACTTTGCTAACAAACATTAGAACTTATTCCTTCTATCTAACTGTATGTTTGTACTCATTAAACAACCTTTCTTCATAAGCCCTATCCCACCCACACACACTTCTTAAGTCTCTGGTGTCTATCATTCTACTGTCTACCTCCAGGAGATCAAGTTTTTTAGCTCCCACATGAGAACATTTGATATTTGTCTTTCTGTGCCTAGATTATTTCCAATTCCATCCATGTTGCTACAATGACATGTTTTCATTCTTTTTTAATGGCTGAATAGTATTCCATTGTGTACATATACCTCATTGTCCTTATCCATTCATCTGCTGATAAATACTTAGGTTCACTCCATATTTTAGCTAGTATGAATACTGTTGCTATAATAATGGGAGTACAGGTATTTCTTTAATATACTGATTTCCTTTCCTTTGGATAAATACCCAGGAGTGGGATTGCTGAACTGTCTGGTAGTTCTAATTTTAGTTTTTTTACAAATCGCCATACTGTTTTCCATGGTGGCTTTAATTTACATTCCCACCAACACTGTATGTCACCTTTTCTTCTCATCCTCACTAGCATTTGTTATTTTTCATTTTTTTGTCTTTTTAATAACGGCCATTCAAACTCTCAGGAGATTATATTTCTTTGTAGTTTTTATCTGCATTTTCCTGATGATGAGCGATATTGAGGATTTTTTCATACACCTGTTGGCCATTTGTATATCTTCCTTTAAGAAATGTCTATTCATGTTCCTTGCCCACCTTTTAATGGTTTTTTGTTTTACTGTTGAGTGGTTTGAATACCTTGCATATTTATTAGTCCCTTGTCAGATGGGTACTTTGCAAATATTTTCTCCCACTCAACAGGTTGTCTCTTTACTTTGTTGACTATCTCCTTTGTTGTGCAGAAGCTTTTTTTTTTGAAACAAGGTCTCGCTCTGTTGCCCAGGGTGGAGTGCAGTGGCACAATCTCGGCTCACTGCAACCTCCACCGCCTAGGTTCAAGTGATTCTCTTGCCTCAGCCTCCCGAGTAGCTGGGATTACATAGGTGTACCACCATGCCCAGATTTTTGCATTTTTAGTTTTTAGGAGAGAGAGGGTTTTACCATGTTGACCAGGCTGGTTTTGAACCCCTCACCTCAAATGGTTCACCCACCTCGGCCTCCCAAAGTGCTGGGATTACAGGCGTGAGCCACTGCACCTGGCCCAGAAACTTTTTAATTTAGTATCATCTCAGTAGTCTATTTTTGTTGACTTTGCTTTTGAGATATTAACTATAAAATGGCTGTCTAGGCCAATGTCCTGAAGGGTTTCCCCTATGTCTTCTTCTAGTAGTTCTATAGTTTGGGTCTTACATTAAGTCTTTAATCCATCTCAAGTTGATTTCTGTATGTAGTGCAAGATAGGGGTCCAGTTTCATTCTTCTGCATATGGATATCCAGTTTTCCCACCATTTATGGACAATGATGTCTTTTTCCCAATGTATGTTCTTGGCACCTTTGTTGAAAATCAGTTGGCTGTAAATATGTGGATTTATTTCTAGGTTCTTTATTCTGTTCCATTGGTCTGCTTCTGTTTTTATACCACTACCATGCTGTTTTGGTTACTATAACCTTGTAATGTATTTTGAAGTCAGGTAGTATAATGCTTCCAGCTTTGTTCTTTTAGCTCAAGATCACTTTGGCTATTTGCCTTCTTTTTTGGTTCCACATAAATTTTGTGATAGCTTTTTCTATTTCTATGAACAATGACATTGGTATTTCAATAGAGATTGCACTGAATCTGCAGACTGCTTTGGGTAATACAGTCATTTTTACAATATTAATTCTTCATGGGCATGAGATGTTTTTCCATTTGTTTGTCTGAAGAGGAGGACTCTTTTAAAGTTTTTTTAGGGCATGGTTCTGTGTGCTGATGAGTCATCCAGTAGAGAACAGAACTTGAGAGGAAGGAACTGCTAAAGTGATGCCCCAAGTACGTTAGAGGGGATAAGGTCTAGTGGATAAATCTGTTTTAGATAGAAGCAAAGATAACCAACTTATGGTAACAGGGAGAAGGCAGATATGGTGGTGCAAGGGGGAGATAGGCATATATGAAGGTTGGACTCTAAAGAAATTCTCTTACTGCCTTAGTTTTCTCAGTTGAAGAAAATTATATTTCAGGTAATGTAATAAGCAAACACAAAAAGCAAAAACTACTGATCTTCAATAATTTGCCTTATTTCACCTGCTCATATTAACCCATTTTACTTTCTTCTCTTAATGATGGTGATCTGTTTGCACATATAACCAAGCTAGGAAAATGTATGTATCTGCCAATAGTTCTACACATGTTTGGCTCACAAATAAAACTATGTGATCAACAGAAAGGTTGATGAGTTAATCAGATTTATGTTCATGCCCTGGTAGAAGGTTCATTTACATGATAAGTCATTTACTTCAAGTTTAAGATTATAGTACACTATTATAAGTTTTCCTCTAAGAAGAAAGAGTAGTCCAAAATTTCACAAGTAAAATGTGGTTTTCACAACAGGGAGTTAGACTTTGCTTATACGGAGGAACACAAGTTTTCAAGGGGACTTACCAACAGTGGTCACAGGAGGCTGGGAAGGGTACTGAGAACTTGTTGTGGCAGGATATGGACCACCAGAACTGGGAAGGCAGAGCTTGCAGTGAGCTGAGATTCGGCCACTGCCACTCCAGCCTGGGGCGACAGAGCGAGACTCTGTCTCAAAAAAAAAAAAAAAAAAAGAATAACCCTAGTTATCGTTTCCCTGCTATGAAGGTGAGACTCATATAACTGAGACCAAGCAAAAGGCATTTAACCATTTAAAGAGTAAATCCAGTGTCATTAATTACAATTCCATAGAACTTTAATTGAATAAACACTTGCAGCTCTAAAACTAAAATTCATCAACTGGTAAAATAACCATATGTCAAGCTTAACTTCCTGAATGGGGTTCTTAAAAAATACTATAACGTTGGGTCATCTAAATGTTAAATGTTTTTTGTCCTTGTCTTTAGTGGTTACCCAGGGCGTCCTTACCCCACCTGGTGGGTCC